CGGTTTCCACTGCTATTTGGTATCCAGCCTCTAGTCTCCGAGATGACCTTTCCAGCCTCTCTGTGTTATCGAGCAGATGTGCCCTCTGAAAAAGAAAAGGGGAGAGAGAGAGAGAGAGAGGGAAAAAAAAATAATCAGGCAGCAGTCTACAATGTTCTCCCCCCCTTTTTAATTGTACTTTCATATTCCAAAACATAAAAATATCCATGTATATTTTATGGAAGAGCCTGTTACAAGGACTACTGGAAGGGGCAGGTTCTATGATCAATCATAATTATGTGTACCAATCATTTTTATGTTGAAACATGGAATACGTGCTTCACTCTTATCACATGAACTCACAAAACAGAAAGTGACGATTATATGGGAAAACTGAAGAGCGTTTCCAAAGCAGATTTCTCTGCTACACATGTATGCAAGCACCCATGATTTCTACTCAACTACAGTTTCACTTTAAATGCGAGTGGTACTTTTTAACATGAACTTAATTTTCAGCAGACGATACATTTCCTTCATGTGTACTACTCAAGTGAGGCGATAAAAACAACGAGCTATTCATACAGAATACTGAACAGCATGAATATTCTTTAGACTGTTTGATGTAAAAAGATGTAAAAACAAAACACCGGTTTCTTGATTTACATCTCTTATGCCTAAATATATATACGAATGTATAAATAATAAACACGCAGAGGTGTAAGATATTTTTCCCAGAAGTCATTTGCCCATTTATGATAATAACAACGAACTCTAGTAAAAATGCTCCTTCCAATGCATTTTCGCTCAGGGAGTCTTTAATAGTGAAAAAGTGAAATTACTATTTTCATTAGTTTATTTTCCATGCAAAACGCAAGCTCACTTCTTTTGGCCATTTGATCCCAGACTTCCTCTAATCAAGTCATCAAAAAATACACTCCCCCCCACTCTCCCATAAAGTAACCACACACATCTCACCAAGCACCCCTTCTATTCCAAAATAATGTTCTGGATATTTGTCAAAAAATATTTCCTACAACTTCACCTTGTTGACAGATGTCATTTAAAAACTGAAGAAATGCTTTCTAATAATAATAAAAAAAAAAGGAGGTGCCATACATATTATCTGAGTGGCTGTCTACCGAAACGATCTACCTTGCTCTAATGAGCCCCTATGGATCTTGGGAGATGCAAGCTGTATTGACATGCACACTTAAGCTAATACACCTAGACCAGTGCCTCCAAGCTCTAGCAGCCAGGGATGCTGACAGAATATCTCGCTTCTATCTTCAAAGAAAGGAAGTGATTAGTATGTTATCATTACCATTCAAAACGTGATTTCCCTATTCCCTCCCGGCATAGGTGACACATCTCTGAGATGCGGCCAGACGATCGAGGCAGCTAAAGCCACATCAAAGCTTGCCTTGAATTTTTTTTTTTTCCCCTCTCTCTCTCTCTCTTTTTTTTTTTTTTTTTTTTGAAATCATTAAAACAATGCATTTAGATCAGCACAGATAGGACCCAATGTGAAGGTCAGGAAAGCTGCAATAACAGTCTATAATAATTAATAGAGTTGTCTAATACACAGTGGATAGGTTAAGAGTAAATTGGAAAAAAAAAAAAAGCCTTTTGCATTCATGGGGGGCAGGCCACCAAGAAAAAAAAAAAAACAACAACAGCACGAGCACTTAAAAAATTTAAAACTGTAAGTTACGAAGCTGTGATTGAAATCATGACAGCAACTAGAGTGGTGCTTGTTCTTAGGACTCATGGTCAATCTAGATAATTAGTGTTAATTTTACTTAATTTTATTTTTAAAAGTCACCTTTTCATAACATCTGCTGGTTCCTCTCCATTGCCCACTAGAAAAAGAAGTGTAAGCCTGCAGTGCCTTTCTTCAAATACAGCCCCCCTACCCTCGAATAATATTAAAGAACAACCTGTGTTAAATATTTTAAGTCTTGTAAAAAACGTCAGGAATCTAATGCTGCTACACTGATATCTCTCCAGAAAGAAAAGGCGTGGAAGAGGTATCTGGGGGGAGGGATAAATAAGGAGTTCAGAGGACAACAATCCTAAAAGTTAGACAGGAGAGACTTAAGACAAAAAAAGAAAAGAAAAGAAGGGGCTGGGAGTGGGCACAAGGAACAGAGCGTTATAATTAAAGAATAGATGCACAGCACTGTAGTGGCACACTAGGAGTGAAAAGACAAGCCTGCTATGTTAGGGGAGAGGGAGAAAATAATCAGATTTCACATTTCAATGTAAAAGAGCTACCCAACAGAAAGAATTAGCATGTAATTGTATATTTTTATATACTATACTAGTCACAGTTTGTCTAAAAGGTAATTGATAAGCCCACAGTTAGTTCAGTCCTACTGTGAGCAATTAGAATACTAAAGCATTGTGAACTCGGTACTAACATTAACTCAAAGCAGTTTCTTACCTTATTTCAGAACCTTTCCACCCAAGCCACTCTACAATGAGACCTCTTTATTTTTATTACAAATGACAGTTATTTACGTGCTCTGGCTTGGGAGGCATACAGCCCTTTGGCCATGAAATCGGTGCCCGACAGCAGCAGCTGATGCCTTCCTGCTCCCCAGCCCTCCCCACACTCCTTCTGCCACTGCATCCCTGCTCTGAGAGGTGGGCAGGGAGGTGATTCAGTGCGTCTCACAGCTTCAGAAACGGCTTCTATCTGAGTTACATAAGGAAGTTTTGCAAAGTGGCATGCTATCACTAGAGATTTTGTCATTCCATGTGGGCTGGATTCAAACTGAGATCTCAGGAGCTCAAAAGACAGAGCGGCACAGCCTCCACGCGACGCTGCGTACGGTGTGAGTGCCGGAACAGAGCCCGGTAATGAGAGGAAGTGTAGGTTTTATTAACAAACAGAATGGCAAACCGTAATTTCTTTCAAGATCTGTTCATACCTCCTTAGGAGAATTATAATTGTGGATGCCTTGATGTTTCACTCTGGGACGAGTTCAGAATTACGCCTCAGTCCCTGTACCAGTCTTCATTTAAACTTCAACGTGCATTTTGCACCCAGTGTTAAAACAGCGCTGCAATTACAACCTACCCAACACGTAGTGGGTCCTTAAGTACAAGGAATGGAATGTCAACAATTAATTTTTTTTAAATTATTTCTCTCTCTACTTGTTCGGTTTTGTTCTAGACAACAAATTTATTTATACCTCTTTGCTGCTGCTCTCCAAATAGAGAGAGGAAAAAAGTAACTTCTGAGGCTAACCAGGAAAAGCAGAAAATTACTAGAAGCAATGTCAAAAAAATTCAGCTGAATGATAGAGTAATTATAAGCTCCAAAAGCTATGACTGAGTTCAGTATAGCTCCTAAGCCCCCATTCCTGTGCAATAACATTCTGAATTTTCTTATTTGCCTTCACAGTTTTTTCAGAAAGAAGAGCAGTTAAGTAGCAGCTTTGTTCTTTATATCTAATTAAATTTTCAGAGTAACCTACAAATTAGGAATCTTCCCGTTTATAAACCTATAATCTCTGTTTGCAAGCAAAAACGATCCTACTATATTGCTTTACAAAAGCACAGAGCAGACGTGCGAGCGTTGTTAAAGGGTTGAGCAAATGGATCTTGTTCTTCTGAAAGTAATCTCAGAAATCAGGCTGTACAAACCCTTGCAACAATATTGTCATCTGTTTAAATACTGGGACTGTTGGGGAGGGGAGCTCAGCAGTGGTGGGAGGGCTTTCATGCGGTTACATGTTTATTTTGTTTAATTTTTTTATTCACCACGTTACTCTGCAGCTTTAACATATTAATATCAGCTCCACAAGAAGAAGGAAAAAATAAAGCATTCAGGCAACTGGTGAAAGAATCTTTATATCACAAATATCTTACTGTTTCTAAGAATTCCCTGTAATTGCCCCTAATCTGGTTACTTTACATTTCTTTGTCATCACCATTTCTAAAACTTACAAATCCTTTTCTGCAGAGCTCAGAATTCATTATTGATATGCCTGGGCATACACGTTTCAAAAAGAAGATACCAGACAAATATGTGATGTTAAAATGCCTCTAAATATACTTATTCAAATACTTCACTGGTTCAAACTCTCCACATGAAACCCTTCAAAAATCCGACCTCTAAGTAATCTTGACTTTACTGAGACCTCATTTTTGGCAGCAATCGAGAGACAATAAAAAAAAAAAAGCAGTTCAGATACCTGCTTTGCTCCAGCAGTAAGGAACTGAGTATATTAATTTCAGAACATATACTGAAACATTTGAGGAACTGACCATTAAAACAGACGTTCTCTCTCTAAATATTTATGAGTCATTTTATAACTGGAAGAAAGGTGTTCCAGAATACTGATCTCTAGTGTTACACCTACAGATCTACAACACACACAAATAAATAATAAATATTGATACGTGTGCTTGGGTCTACTTGTGCTGTATTTTCAGTGGGTATATGATACACTATATAATACATAAGCCATTTCAGTGTTTCACACCAAAGTCAAAGCATAAGGAAATACTGTGTAATTCTGCCAGTGTTTCAGCACAGGTTTTAACCAAAGCAATGCTTTCACTTTCAATACCAGTGTACGAATGTATTTACCCTATCAAAGATTTTGTGATGCAAACAAGATTATTACTGTACCAGATTTGATCATGGTATTCTAGCAGACATCAAATAGTAGGTTTTCTTTTTTTCCCTTCTTTCTCTAGTGCCTTTAAAAAAAAATTCTACTATCAAAGAATGTTAATTTCTAAGGTTTGATCTGGAGATTCCTATGTAAGTATACAATTATTAGGAAAAAAAGAGGCACAACAGTGAATATTTTAAAGCAGTGTAATCAATATTTTTGCTTTGTGCAGATTTCCCTGCAACAATGAACAAAAAGATCTACTTCAGATTTAGAAACTCAGCTTTAAAGGGAAAGCTAGACAACAAAAAGCAAGAAAGTACTCACCTCTTCACGTAATTTTATCAACTGCAACATGAGCGCACAAAAAAGATAAAAAGGAAAGAAATGGCAGGAAAGAAAGATCAGTTGTGTGACAGGATACAGAATTAACATTGACAATTTATCTGTTTACATGTTTAGCATTTAAAAATCACAG